CGACATGTGTCTGAGGTATGCCCAATTTTTTCACATTTTCCACACTTTAAATGAGGATTTTTAGGCGTGAAAACCTTCTCTGGTTTTCGTGCATTATTCTTCACGGCAAAAGCTGAAGCTTCCGGCTGCGGCACATTTACATTGTTCATGTCGCGTTGCTTTTCTTCTTGGAGCGCGAGAGAATGTGCCTTGCTGACATTGGGAAGGGGATCCATGAGCAAAATTTGTCCTCTTATACTAGTGTATGTTTCATTAAGCCCCATGAGAAATTTCATGGTTTTCTGGTTTTGCTGAAACTGCATCACTTCCTTCATGGCACCACACGTGCATTTAGGAATGTTATGGAGGGCATCACGTTCATCCCATAGGCCTTTGAGCTTGGTGTAATAAGCTCCAACTGTCATATCGCCTTGCTTGCAATCGTGGATGGCTTCTTCGACATGGAAAATATGAACGCTGTTGGTACGAGAAAAACGTTCCTTCAGGTCGAGCCAGATTTCATGGGCACTCTCGTTATATATTATACTTGCTCCAATGTCTTCTGCAATTGAATTAAACAACCATGCCTTGACAAGGTTGTTGCAGCGCCTCCATTGTTGAAGTTCTGCGATGGACGTCTCTGGTGGTTCTTGGACGGTGCCGTTGACAAAACCTTCTTTGTTTTTGATGTTGAGAGCCATCAACATGGCACGACTCCAAGAATTGTAGTTTTCTCCATTCAGCGGTTGCGTAACAAGCACGAGACCAGGTTGATCTGAGTAGTGGAGAAAAAAGGGGTCGTTCGGATTATTGAATTTGCTAAATTCAGGTTTTGCTGAATTTTGAGTTTCGTCTGCCATGTGTTTTGACTTAGAAAGAAGATAGATGGGGGTTTTTTTTTTTTTTGCGTGGAAGAGGAGATGGTAAGACTCAGAATCATGTTTGCTCTGATACCATGTTAAAACTCAGAATAATGTGGTGGAATACACACCTTTTCATTGATATGAATGTGGTTATAAATAACCCTTACAATAATCTTGTAATAGGAAAAATAATAAAAGGTAAATGATATGAAAGGAAGGGTATAACACTTAGTATCTCCAATAATTAATTCGCATTAATTATTAGGAGATATAGGAAACAACATAAAATAGGGAAATAAATATCTCATTAATTCTAAGGAAATAATTTATTTACAAGAATAAATTATTTCCTAACATAACTCTAATTCTAAGGAAATAAATTATTTATAAGAATAAATTATTTCCTATCATAACTCCTAACAAGTTCTTTATATGAAGCTTTGCTAAGAGAATTGTTTAGAGATGCTGGAGAGGAATAGAAACTGGAAACAGGAGATTTAAATGGGTTTTTTTTTTTTTTGGCCAAATTACTTTCTTGATTTGAAACTGCTGGAGCAGAGGTAATATAACTATAGTTTTATCTTGGAGTATCATGCCGAAGGTCCCCGTGCCTTGTTAAACAAGCAATGGATTCTGTGGGGCGTCGTTCCAGCTTGAGATTCCACACCTTCATTACCAAACTTATCGCATATTTTTTTCATCTTTTGTACCAAGTAAAACAAGTTCCTTTTGTATTCCAAATTCTCTCATCAGCTATGTAATCTGGAGCGTAGAAATTCACACAACAATCAAACACAAAGATTTTCATGACGCGGTGTTAAATTGATTTGTATTTCACTGGCACTGAATGAGGAGAAAGAAAAATGAGTTGGAGCTACAGCTCAACTCTTCCTCACACACTCATTTCATAAGCCCAAAGTCATTTTTTTATAGAAGATGGCTAGGACATATAAGTAAATAAAAGCAAAAGACAAAACTACACTAAATTAAACAAAAGTCATAAATACGACAATCTTCATCGCATCTCTTACTTCTAGATAAGTAAGAGATGACAAAATGAGCTCCAAACTGCAAATTAGTTGCACCAAGATGGTTGTCTATGTACTGCCCTCCCAAAGGGATCGAGCATCCCTTAATTCTTCAAAATGTCTGCCTTGGCAATCAGTTCTGAGCTCAGATGTTCACCAAATTGCTGTAATGATTGAACTTCTAGATCCGTAGTACCTTCTTGAGCATGTTCGTTAAATTCTTCTTTGTATCTATCTTCTTCAATAGAGCCTATCTTCTTCAATTAAGTCTCGAACAAAGTGGTATCTCACATCAATGCGCTTGGCACGAGCCTTTCGCCGAACTTCCTCCAAATCTGTAAGAATGTCAGACCACCTGCTGCAGATTACACCGACAACACAGTGAATTTGGTGTTGTGGATGTTGAACCTCACTCCGATCACGAACTCAAACCTCTCATATCAATTTTTAATGCGATTATAATGTGAAAGCATAGAAATTCAAATAACTGCAATCAAGCACAAATTCACGTGATTCGGTGTTAAATCAATTCATCTACGTCATCAAGGAGGGAGATATCCTAACATTGAATGGGGAGATGGAAAAGTTAGTTTGGTTTGAAACTCAACAATTTCTAGCTTCTCTCATGAGCCTAAAGTCCTTTTTTTATAGAGGATGATCGAGGCATATAGGTAAAAATAACTGTTATGGTATGACTCATATATCATATAGGGACAGACACTGGAACGAAGCGGAGCAGAGCGGAGCGAAGCGAAAGAATCTGTCCAAATCGGGAAGTTACGGAAGTTCGGGAAGTTACGTTATGTGGGTTTGGGGTGCTGGGTCAACGCCCCGCTATACGGTACAAATGTAATTTAGGAATTACATATTGTATTGTAGGGTTTACTCTAGGATTATAAATAGACATGTTTGTAATCCTAGTTCTTTGAGAGGAGCTGAATATTGTATTATGTATTCTTTTCTAAATATTGAAAAGGAAGTCACCGCTCTACTCCCAAGGATGTAGGCATCTTTGTCGAACCTCGTTAAATCTCTGTGTTCTTCTGGATTTGTGTCGTTCTTGTTTTTTTTCGTCATAATTTTCTCAACAAGTGTTATCACAGCGAGGTTCGAGGGAAGGGAAAAAAAAGTTTCGGTACAGCAGTAGATGAAAAAGAGTTCGCGAGTTCGCAGTACAACAGGAGAGTTCGCTAGTTCGCGGCTTCGGTACAGCAGGAGAATTCGCGAATTGCAAGAAGTCGCGATTAGCGGCGGCAAGGTTCTTGTGGACGGCAGCTGGGCGGAAGGGAGGAAAGGAATCTTTCCTTCTGTGCGTGGATCTGAAAAGGAAGGAACTTTTGCAAAGGAAGGTTCAGCGCATTTGTGAAAGGAATGTTCTCTTGGAGAAATTGGAAGAAATCTTCCCATTTGTTTCCTTTGCTGTTTCGATCTATTTTCTTTGGAGGCTGCGGAGAAGTGAAACGAAGGAAATCAATAAATTTTTTTCCCGTTGAAGAAAGGAAAGTTTTTTAATTTTACTTTATTAAAGGAAAATTATTTTTTAATTAAGTTGATTTAAAAAAATATTTAATTAAGGAAATTTAATTAAAATTTTCTTTGTTGGATTTGCGGAGGTGAGATTTCTTTTGCTGGAGGCTTAAGTAAGGAAATGATTTGGAATTTTTTTAAGATTTGAAATTCAGTTAATTAAATGAAATATTTAATTAAAGGAATATTTCAATTCTTTTTTTTTTTTAAAGATTTTGTTGATTCTCTGGGAAACTTAATTAAAGGAAAATTCTTTTTCTTGAAAACTTAATTAAGGTAAACTTAATTAAGGAATCTTAATTAAAAGATTATTTAAAAGGATTTGTAGCAGAATCGGAATCTTGCGGAGAAGAAAAGGAATCTTGCGGAGAAGAAAATTTGGAAGTATTTTCTGAATTTCCTTGGCTGGAGAAAAAAAATATTGGCCACGATGCAGAAAAATATAAAATTTTGCTAATTGTTTGCAAGGCAGACGGACTCGAGGGAACGAACAGTTGCGAAGCAGTTTGGATAAAGGGCTGCGGCAGTTCGGCGAGTTATGCTTCGGTGAGTTCGCGGTAGAGGCGGCGTCGCGACTTCGAGGCGCGACAATTCATGAACATTCGCGACATCAGGCGAAGTGGAGTTAGCGAACAAGAGTTCGTGTGCAGTTACTGCGAACAGGAGTGTTTGCGAACAGAGGAGTTTGGTGATGTTCGACCAACGAAGTTTGAAAGTTCGTCGCAGGAGAAGTTACGACAGGTGGAGTTTGCGACTGGTGGAGTTTGGTGGGGTGCTGGCGAGCGAGCAGACACAATTATTCGCGAAGAGTGGTTTCGCGGAGGTATTTCTCGAAGGGTTTCGCTCACGGGACAACAGTTTAGCCGAGGTGCTGGCGCAAACAGGAAAAGTGCTTCAACCCACATTTGTGCATAAGAAACTTCATGATATATTTCCCCTAAGGGGTTGTATATTCACAAGGTGGAGATATTTCTCTTAAGGGGCTGAATATTCACAATGTGAAGATTTTCTCCTAAAGAACATGATATTCGCAAGGTGGAGATTTTTTCTCCTAAGGGATTGGATAATCGCAAGGTGGAGATTTTCTCCTAATGGGTTGGATATTCGCCAAGGTGTAAAATTATTAGGTATGACTCATAATACCAAAATTTGGAGTCTTTTGGAATGAAGGGATGTCTCTTAGAATTGAAGATGTGTGTCTCTTGGAATTTAGTGGGTTGTGATCAGTGTGGGCGCGGCAGAAGTATGGTGGTTCAACCCACATTAGTGCAGGTGTAACTCCCAGGTATCTTTTCTCCTAAGGGGTTGGATATTCGCCAAGGTGGAGATTTGTTATTGTATGGCTCATATACCATATCGGGACAGAAGCGGAGCGAAGCGTAAGAATCTGTCCAAATCGGGATGTTACGTTATGTGGGTTGGAGGTGCTAGGTCAACGCCCCGCTATACGGTACATGGGTAATTTGGGAATTACATATTGTACTGTAGGGTTTACTCTATGATTATAAACAAACCTGTTTGTAATCATAGGTCTTTGAGAGAGAGCTGAATATTGTATTCTGATATTTTCTGAATATTGAAAAGGAGGTCGCCGCTCTGCTCTTCCGCTCTGCTCCCGATGATTATTTTTCGACCGGTCTCACAATAGAGGGGAATCCAAGACATCCCCATGATGAAAATAACCCAAGGGGGAAGGCTAACCCCTCAGAGGTATTTAACAACAGTCCTAAACATCATCAAAGTCAGTGAGATGAATTTCAACCATCCCCCAAAATCTCTTCGCCCAAAGGCAACTATATATCAAATTATGATGAATCTGCTTGATAGCCTAGCTCTACTCAGCTGACAGGAGCTCCTTGTTAGGGATTAAGGGTTAGTGGCCATACTTGATTAATCGATCGATTTTGTTTAGCCGACCGAGTCAACATTTCCGACATTTTTCCAATAAGAATTCAACCACCATTTACATCAAACCTAGCTGATCGTCAGTCCTACCAGACCATGCCCACCGACTCGCCTCTCCAGCTCAGTCGACAGGCAGGGCCTGTCAAAAGGCTCGCTAGTATAGCCAATCGAGCCTCGGAGCCACCAGACTCTGGGTCGACATATGTAAAATATATGTAATAACATATATTGCCCCCATTAAAGCATAGACACATATGTAAATTCACACATTGTGCTCCCTTTCTATAAAAATATCTGATCATTCTAAGAATGAGTTGTACAAACTTCTCTCAAGGTGCTATTCATTTTATCTTATAAGATGATATAAATAATAATTTTTAAATCTTGCTAAAACCCTTATTGTCTTATGTCTTATGTCTTATGGCTACATGATGAGGGTTGTTAAAAGGACTCTTTGTTCGTGAACAACTCGTATTTGGCTCGTTAAGCAAACGAGCTGAACACGAACAAACTTTTGAGCTCGAAATATAAACGAGCCGAACACAAGCTTACACCTGCACCCCTTGTGGAATATATGTAAATGCCCACTAGCATTATTGAAATTAAAAAAGGAGACATGACACCACTTGTTCGAATGATAGAAACAGCTAAAAATTAAAAGGAAAAAAAAAATTAATTCATACAATTTTTTTTTAACATGTGTTAAATATTTTTTTTTTCTTTTAATTTTTTGAAAGTTGAAAGGACCGGCTACGTTACATTGTTTGATAAGAATTACAAAATATTAAGGATTTTAGCTTTGTTTATAGTTATATAGTTTGAAAATCCGAGGACATATGACTACTCATCCGAATGAGATTGAAATATATCTCAATTGTCTAGTATAACAAAGGCATGTGCATGTCTTATAATTTTATTATTATTATTTTAGCTTATATAGTTATTATTTTTATTTGATGTATATTAAATGAGCCTGAATAATTTTTTCTCTCTTGTAATTTGATCGGGTTACTTTCGAAAGCTTCCTCTCCGTCGTTGCCTGCTGAAAGATCCATGACAATGATAAATTAACATCCATTATTATTGCTATAGAGTTTGGCAACATTTAAGCAGAGATGACATCATATTAGTTGAACATCAACTAAGGGTATGTTTGGCCCCGCTTTTTCATCGCTTCGCCGCCCCAGGCCGCAAATATATTCATATTTTTTTTCGTTTGGGAGCACGGGGGCGGGCTGGCGTCGAGAAAGTTGGCGGAAAGCGGGGGCCGCGGGTTCTATCCCGCGGCCCACGTTCTGGACCGAAAATTATCGGCTTTGCCCCGCAAACCCTCTCGACCGAATTCATTTCCCCTCGACTCGTCTTCTGCCCCAGTGCACGACTGATCTCGTGAAGCCGATGTTGAGTTCTATCGTCCTAGCACCACGGATTCGCGAAAATCTTCCCCCATTCTCAGCATCGCTCTCTCCTTCGTGGTTGTTAGCCGACTTCCCCTAGGTAAATACTTCCTTTTCCCCTTTTTCCCTGTTTCGAGCTATTCCTATTCGCTTTTCGCTGTTTCTCTGTCAATCTGATCCCGTATGGCAGAAGGGAGCCGGCATTGGCTTCTTGAAATGATCAATGTTCTTCTCTCCCGTTTAAGGTTCCTCTTTGTTTGATCAAATCCATTAATAACTATACTGTTTTCAAGTCAAAAGTGCACTTGGAAGTGTGCTTTACTCTGCGATGCAATGTAGCAGATTTTGCAGGTTCACAATGTCACTTTATGAGAAGAGTACAGCAGGACAACAGCTGGGTTTTACTGTTGCAAGCATTGTACTGGGAATGCTAGCTTCTTTGTGTTGCATTATACTAATCAAGATCCTTCAAGCTGCTTTATCTTCACTTGCTTATTAGTGGAATTCAGAGAAGTAGGCTTAGGCACTTGTTGTAATGAACCCTAGTAGGAATGTTTCTTGGCAAAATAATCATGTGGTTGTTTGGGATCATTTGTATTGTTATAATTTTTTTTCTATTTTGTTTTTAAAATTTGTTGTTCACAATTATTTTTAAAAATTTAATTTTTATTTTTTTAAAAATAGTTAATAATTATTTCTAAGAAATTTTTAGTCTTTAAAAAAATCGTATTTTTTTAACATAGTAAGGGCTGGTTAGGGTATCAACATGACAACAGTTGGGTTTTACTGTTGCAGGCATTGTACTTGGAATGCTAGCTTCTTTGTGCTGCATTATACTAATCAAGATCTTTCAAGCTGCTTTATCTTCACTTGCTAATTAGTGGAATTCAGAGAAGCACCTGATACAAATTCTCCACCGAGCCTGCTTGCTTGTTACCTATTTATGTGCATTTGCTTGGATTATATTACAGTGGCAAAAGCTAATCTACTTCAAACACCTTTATATTAACTCTAATATGTTAGTACAGATTATGTAAGTATTTTGTAACATGTCTCATTAAGAGTTTTTTATGCTTATATGCATTACTGAGACTGATTCAACTGCTTGATATGTTTTTTTTTTTGTACCACACAATTCTTATGTATTTACATATCTCACGCCTAAATTTTCATATTTCACAATTCTTATGCTGTTACAGTCTTCTTTTAAAGAGTTTTAACGAATAGGGGCAGGATGGTCATTTCTCCAGAAAAAGCTGCCTCACAACTGTTTTCACACAGCTGCACCAAACAGACAACTGCTTCCCCGCAGCTGCTTCCTGGGGGCAGCGCAGCTGCAGCCGAAAAGCTGGGAAGTTGCAGCTGCGCCAAACAAACCCTAAAGCACTTTGCAAAGAGCCAACCACGGACCACACTTGAACTTATCTCTTTAGAACACAAGATCCAACCCAAAGTTTTATATTGCTCAGTCGCTACTTTCTACTTCTCGTAGTTGGATGGTCGAATCAAAAGCACATATATCTTGGAGGAGCTTGGACACATCGCAAGCCAGAATTGAGCTGATAACTCTTGGAAGAACTTTGGAGCCATTAAAGGTAAATGCGGAAGGAAAGAAAACTTAGAGAAAGAAGGGAACTAGATAAGAAAATTGAACAATTGTGCAAAAAAATAAACCCTTGGCCCTCTTTATAGGGTGATCGTCCACCAAATTTGGCTCGAGCACCTTCTCGTCGGCGGTCATGAAGCAAATTGGATGATCCCACCCGATCCTCTTGATCATGCGCCTTTCTATTCTACAAAATCTTCTCCTTGCTCCTCTCCATCCAGCCCAGACTTCACTTTCATCTCATCCAAAGCTTACATGTAGGATGCCTCAAAATTCTTGGATCTTGTTGCCGCTTTGCCCACCATGGCTGCAGTCAAAGTCCAAACAGCCCAAAGCAAAAAAAATAAGAAGTAAATGTGATATTCTGACCCTTCATGAGCTATTTATAAAAACACAAGCACAGAAGCCTAAGGAGTTCAATTTTTTGAATCATTGAATATTTATAAATAAGATTTACATTTTGTATTGAATTATCTTGTTCTTATCACAAAACGACTTCCAAGACAAGATAATTGATGAACTAAATATGTATACAAAAATTAACAACATGAATCTCATGAAGATCTATCGACACAGACAATGACAATATGTGTCAATGGAGGGTCCACCAATAAGAGACTTGGAGGCTCATGTGGTCAATTGCAAGCATTAAGCCTGACACGACTTAATTAGTTTTCGACCGGTCTCACAATAGAGGGGAATCCAAGACATCCCCATGATGAAAATAACCCAAGGGGGAAGGCTAACCCCTCAGAGATATTTAACAACAGTCCTAAACATCATCAAAGTCAGTGAGACGAATTTCAACCATCCCCCAAAATCTCTTCGTTCAAAGGCAACTATATATCAAATTACGATGATTCATCATCTGCTTGATAGCCTAGCACTACTCAGCTGACAGGAGCTCCTTGTTAGGGATTAAGGGTTAGTGGCCATACTTGATTAATCGATCGATTTTGTTTAGCCGACCGAGTCAACATTTCCCTTTCCGACATTTTGCTAATAAGAATTCAGCCACCAATAACATCAAACCTAGTTGATCGTCAGTCCTACCAGACCATGCCCACCGACTTGCCTCTCCAGCTCAGTCGACAGGCATCGTCTGTCAAAAGGCTCGCTAGTTTAGCCAATCGAGCCTTGGAGCCACCAGACTCTGGGTCCACATATGTAAAATATATGTAATAACATATATTGCCCCCATTAAAGCATAAACACATATGTAAATTCACACATTGTGCTCCCTTTCTATATAAATATGTGATCATTCTTAGAATGAGTTGTTATAAATTTCTCTGAAGGTACTATTCATTATTCTCCTTCTCTCTCTCTTTCTAGTGTCATACATTATATTCATTAGGTGTATTCACAGACAAATCAGGATTCAACAAACAATTAAAGTGGTAAAGCAGAGTTAAAAAAAAAAACATTCAAATTTGTATCACTTTGATTAAAAATAAGATGAATAATTTCTGAAGGCCAAGTTTGAAAACTCATCAAATTATATATAAAAAAAAACATCGTTAAAAAGTCAAGTTCTAAGTGTTGTGTAAGTTTTCATTTGCACCTCGTTTCTTTTACGTTTCTTTTAATATATTTAAAGTATGCTGCTTGAAATTAAAAAACAAATAAGATTTTTTTTTCTTAAATAGGTATGTAATTTAGGACATTGATCAATAGGATAAGATTTCATTCTTTTAATTAAAGGCCAAGATTAAATTTAAGAAGAATCACAAACCAAAAATATTGATAAGTTAGAATTTGAAACGCCATAGATTTTGAGTTCAAATTGAAAAGGTCAAAGATTACATAAAAATGTATTACTTAATTAATTATACATAATATAATTCATCAAATAATAATTTTTTTATTAGATATTATATAATCATGGCTCCATAAGTGGAATAATCAAATCAAATTAAATAAAATAAATAATTAATTTTTAATTTGCTGTTAATTGCATGCCACTTTAATTATAATCATCCAATCAAATTTAATAATCATAAATAAAATTCATAAATTTATTAATTTATTTGTCTCATTCTTAATTGGTTGACATAAGAGTTGTGTGGAGAAATTATTATGTTTTAAGTGTATTTTCGGTGGGTTGAGCAGAATACACCCCCAACCGCCTAATGTAAAATTTCTCAAATCCTTGATACAATCTCGATGGCCTTCGGGTCAGTGGAAGCCGCCGGAACCCTAGCCATCTCCGGCGAGAAAGAGGTCGGCGATGCTTCGAAACCCCATCCCCTTTCCCCCTTCCGCTTCAACTCTCCCCTTGTCCAAGTCTTCCTCATCGGCCTCGTCTGCTTCTGCTGTCCCGGCATGTTCAACGCTCTCTCCGGCATGGGAGGCGGCGGACAGGTAGACCACGAAGCCGCAAATAACGCCAACACCGCCCTCTACACCACCTTCGCAATCTTCGGCCTCCTCGGCGGTGGCATCTACAACATCCTCGGCCCTCGTCTCACCCTCTTCGCCGGCTGCTCGACCTATATCCTCTACGCCGGCTCCTTCCTGTACTACAATCACTATTCCCACCAGACCTTCGTCATCATCTCAGGCGCCATCCTCGGCATCGGCGCTGGTCTCCTTTGGGCCGGCCAAGGAGCTATCATGACCTCCTACCCACCTGTCACCCGTAAGGGCACCTACATCTCCATCTTCTGGAGCATCTTCAACCTCGGCGGCGTCATTGGTGGTCTAATCCCCTTCGTCCTCAATTATCACCGAACTCAGGCGGCTTCCGTCAACGACGGAACATATATCGCCTTCATGTGTTTCATGTCCGCCGGCACGGTACTCTCCCTCGCCATTCTGCCCCCTTCGCAAATCGTCCGCGACGATGGATCCCGCGCAACTGCAGTCATCTATTCCAGCGTTTCCACTGAAGGGATCGAAATCCTCAAGCTTTTCGCTAATTGGAAAATGCTCCTTATAATCCCCGCCGCTTGGGGTAGCAATTTCTTCTATTCCTATCAATTCAACAACGTTAATGGCATCCTATTCAGTCTCCGAACCAAGGGGCTCAACAATGTTTTCTACTGGGGGGCTCAAATGATCGGCTCCTTGTCCATTGGCTATCTTCTCGATTTCAGTTTCAGGAGCCGGAGGAAAAGAGGATTGGTTGGGATCTCCGTCGTCGCAGTGCTCGGGACGGGCATTTGGGCGGGGGGGCTCGCAAACCAACTCCGTTACACCGACGGGAAGTGGCCGAACAAACTGGATTTCAAGGACTCCGGTTCGAGCTTTGCTGGCCCGTTTGTTCTCTATTTCAGCTATGGCTTGTTGGATGCCATGTTTCAGAGCTTGTGCTATTGGGTTATCGGATCACTGGCGGACGATTCGGAGACGCTCAGCAGGTTGTGAAGATCTCTCAACTTGTTTTCCTCATCTCTTATTGATGTTAATGGATTGTTTTGTTTGGAACAGGTATAGTGGATTCTACAAGGGAGTGCAGAGTGCGGGTGCGGCGGTTGCTTGGCAGGTGGACGAGCACAAAGCTCCGCTGATGTCGCAGTTGATTGTGAACTGGGCGCTTACGTCGATAAGCTATCCCCTGCTTGCGGTGGTGGTGTTGTTGGCTGTTAAGGATGTTAAGGATGTTAAGGATGATGAATCGGCGGCGAGAGGTGAGTATGTGGAGGGGAAGGTGCCGGAGAGGTAGGACAGTTTTTTCAATTTGTGCTGTTCTGGTTGTCGTGGAATTTTTAGCGTGTGAGCCGTTGGGTGGTCTGATGTGACCACGGACCGACCACAAAAGCAACTGTATTGTTAAGGCTTTAAGGAATTTTAATGGAGGTTTGAAGGTGTTACTGGTTCAGATTAGACAGATTTCTTTCTAATCTCAATTGATCGTGAAATAAATTTGACTCAAATTCAAATCAAAATTTAAATTAGATTTGAATAAGTTCGAATACAAAGTTTGCAACTCATACGAATATAGAAAAGATTATCGTTCATGAGTGATATTAAAAAAAAAAAAGAATATTTTAGTGAAATTTAACCTAAATATGTAGTGCTAGCGGATATATTTATTAAGGGATGCACCGAAAAGTCAATAGTTTAAATCCCCCTAATTAAGTTGCCTTTAATTCCATGAATTGCATTAAAAAGACATTTTTTTTCTCGCCAAAGACGATGCCAAGGCGTTTTCTCCTCTTGAAATTAACTAGTGGGACCCACTTGTTAGAAAAAAATGAAAATGATTTATTTTTTTAAGAGAGGGCTTATATTTTTAATGAGTAATTTATTAATTTATAAAGTTAAAAAAATTAATTAAATAATTACTTAATAAGCAAATGTTTTAATAAGTATAAACTGATGGCTTGTGTTAAAATAAAAAAAAGTATTTAGCTTGAAAAAAATAACAATTCAACAAAATCATATTTAAATAAATTTAAAATCCAGTCCTAAATGAGCAATATTATCGAATATTAATCAAGATTTTAGTAAGTTTGTTGGCAATATTTAAATTATTCATTCTCATAAATGAATTGAGCGCCACTCTTTTCATAGAAATGGATTTGTCGATTAAGTATTTAAGAAAATATCCAAAACTTTTCAAGTACAACAACAATAACAATAACAAAGTTAATCCCACTACATGGGGTCCGATACAAGAATCTTTTTTCTCCATTGCGTCCTATTTAGTATCATATTTTCATTTAGTTCTAATAAATTAATATCATTTTTTTATCAGTTCTAATAAATTAATATCATTTTTTATACAATAAGTCCAAGTCTTCCTAGGTCTACCTCAGCCTTTCATAACATAAGAAAAATCTAAAACATTTACTCTCGTAATCGGATCATCAGATGGTCGAAGTTTTAATGTGACCAAATCATCTAAGCGATTTTCTCTGATTTGCCTGTCACTGGAGCTACACCAACTCTATCACGGATATAATTATTTCTCATTTTGTCTCTAAGTGTAAAGCCACTCGTGCACCTAATCATTCTCATCTCATAAACACTTAAATTACTATTATGCTTCTCTTTTAAAGGCCAACATTCAGCATCATAGAGCATCGCAGCTCCCACCACCCTCTTATAAAATTTTCCTTTCAGTTTTAGCGATACTTTCTTAGCACGTAAAAGGCCTGAAGCATTCCTCTACTTCAACCAACTAACTTGAATTCTACTATTAGCATCCCCATCTATATCACCATCACTTTGAACAACTGACCTGAGATATATAAAGTTTTTCAATTATGTAATTAAAATATTACGGATTGCCTCTAACTATGATTGGCTTCTTAAGCATATTGATTTATTAATATTCCCAAAGTTGTTTTGGGATTTTCTTTGATGAAAATGTTTTTAGCCATATTTTCTTACATAGATTTTAAAAAAGTGCATTTTTCATCCATTTGATTCATTTTAAAATAAATATTAATTAATGATAGAAAATACGTAACAGTAGAGTAATGATTTATCAAGTTAATATTATACGAGAATCCAACACACACTTGGAGAATAAAAATAACATATAAGTTTTTATATGAAAAATTTTAAAAAGAAAAAAAAAAAAACACAATGCCTAACCCAATAATAACTAATATACTATAGTTTGATGAGTACACATACAGACCCTTGTACTACATGCTACAGGCAAGAAATTGTCATGTAGTTGCAATGTTTGTATGTGGGGGGACTCGTTGAATAACAGTTGGGAGCTGTTGAAACTTTGGTACACCATCCTCGAAGTGCATTGATGTGCTGTATTTGTGACGACGTGCTGCTCTGTAAAATGCTACACGATGTTAGCCACAACTAGTTAATTTTAAAATTATCTGAGATTATTTTGACAGTTCTATAAACTCTGGACTAAAATAATCCTATGGATATAGTGGGAATTATTTTTAGCAGTTTACTCTTTTAAATTAGCTCAATTTGAACATAACTCTATTTGATTTGTTGAACAAAGCTCTCACCCTAACTACCTTCAAATATAAAAAATTTGATCAAAATTCAAATTTGATATGTAATAAATTCAAATACAAATAAGTTCAAGACATTGGGAAATTTTGGAAGTATCCCCCAATATAAAAAATTATCCTTCATTAGTGATATTTTAGTGAAAGAATTTTTTAGTGCAATTGAACCTAAATATATAATACTAGCGGCTTCACAAAAAAAGTTAATAGCTCTCTTATTAACTTGCCTTTAATGCCATGAATTGCATCAAAAAGAGACTTTTTCTTTTTGATGTAAAATTGGAAGAGCCAAGGCAGTTTTCTCCTTGAAATTAATTAGTGGGACCCACTTGATTGAATTTCTCCACTTTGATAAAATATGAGGTCAGGACTCCGTATGCGATTTTTTTTTTTTTTTCTTCTTTTTTTTTACTCACAGCCGGACCTAATATCACCTTCGCTTTCATCTAAATTAGCAAGAATAGCATCTCTCTAGAGAAAAATATAAAAATTATTTATTTATAACTTGCAAAATTTTTAGACGATTATTTCTAAACTTTTTTATAAAATTCGGATAAGATGGCTGACTGTTTGGTTTATGCGTTTGGAAAACAATTAATTATGGATGAATAATCATTCTGCCCCTGTTCTGGATAAGCTGTTTAGCTGTTTAATTTGTGTGTTTTGTGAACAAATTTTCAGCAGATTTTTTTAGTTTAATTAATAATCTGTCACGTAAAATTTGTAATTTTCTCAAATATAAATACATGAAAATGCAAAAGAGTTGAATTATATTTATATAACTTAAAAAGTTTAGAGATTTATAAAATTAAGGGAATCTAAAGCGTGTGAAGGGGTTGATGAGGGGAGAAAGACATGATTTTCCTCTCTCAATGGTCTCTTGTAAAAGTGGACGAAAGTACTTTTTTCAATGATCTCTGGTAGAAGCAAACAGAAGGAAGAGAAAGAAGAAAGTTTCAGAGGTCTCGTCTTCTGCAATCCCAACATTGCCTTCTAAGCTAGCTCTAATTGCGTTTGTTTCTCGACGCTGGTATTGGGTGAAACCAGAAGAGTGAGAAAAGAGGAAGATAGGATAAAACCATGATAGTGGCGAATGAGATAGTTTTTGGGCAGCTAGACTATGGAAGCTTCACGAATTTGTAACCTTACATTTTATTTGTGAAACAAGTAATATTAATGTGAAAATTGTGTGCTCAATATGTAAAAACCCTTAATTTTACGAGGAATTTATATACATCACCCATTTCTTGTGCATTTACTTATCTCACTGCAAAACTTTATTTTTTTTCGCATAATGCATTTTTTCTGATGTATGAAATGTGAAATGTAATTCATCTTTTCATACATAGGTTAGGTTTTTGCAGTGTAAAAATTAGTGTAAAAATTAAAATTAAGATGTGAGATAAGTAAAAAGTAAATGCACAAGAATTTAGTGCTATGTCTGTAAATTTCAGTAATTTTATTTTGGCTTCCCACAAGTCAGACTTCATGCCCTGGTTTATTCAAAGGAAATCATCAAATTTTAATTCCTTTAATTCCTTCCCAACGAGGCAACGAGGCTAGAACATAAGAACATATGAGAGTTCTGCAGCCCAATTTCTTTTAATTTCTTCCCAATCAAAGAAGAAGTAATTGCAAATGTGGTTATTTGATTTCGTTCTCTACCATGTAATACAAGAATGTAAGTACCGAAAAAGTTGAAATGCAGAAGAAAAAGAGGAAGAGGAAGAACTGCAGACGAAGAAGAGAAATAAATCCTGTAGAAATGTCTGTCGAGGTGCGAAGAAGAGGAAGAAATGGCTGTCGAAAAGCCTGTGGAGTTGCGAAGAAGAGGGCACGGAAGAGGTTATACCTGCCGAGAATGACAAAGAAGATGCTTATCGAAGAAGAGCGCGATGCCTAACTGAAGCAAGGAGCCGAGAATGCCGAAGAACTGAAGCAGAGAGTCGTGAGCTAGGGCAGACCTGAAAGCTTCTCGGCCGAATGGGGAGTGCAGAGGATCGGCTTCGAACAGCTAGGTTCTATTCGCCGAGAGTCGTGAGCTAGGGCGTTTTTCGTGAAAATACAAACGTTGTTTTGAAATAATCAGTTAAAACGTGCAAACCAAACGGTACAGCGGCGTTTTTGGAAACACCGCTGCACTTATAAGCTGCCCCAAATGGGCCCAGAGTTGCCGCTGGCTAGGCGACTCATTTGCTGACTCACCGAACGCCCCGGATTCTAAATTTATTATTCATTTTGCAATATCTCCAATCCAATCACGCAGCCCTTGGTTCCTTTCAGCCGAAATATCGATAAAAATATATTCAAGTTACATCTGAAAAATGGACGCAATACACTAGAAAAAATAAATGAGAGAAAACCTTTAGGTCGAAAAAACAAATGAGAGAAAACCTTTAGGTCTCCTCGTCCAGCACAGTGTCGAACTCCGCCACCGACTTTGGCTACTGTCAATACCCATCTTCCATATTTCTTCTTTTTTATCTCTTCTACTGTGAAATTGAGTGGCATGCATATGTTTAGTTCAAAGATTTGACATGGGATGCTAGCAATGAAGGTTCTTTTTATTTTTTCTCATTTTTTAACGATTTGCCATGGAATGCCGGCCTCTTTTTATTTTTTTCCTCCCATTTATGGCCATTTACCTCGGAATTCTCATATTAAGTTTGATTTGATGGCAGAAAATTGAGTTTTGATGCCTGAAACAAAATTTAAATAGTAAAATTTTATTTTAGGTTGAGATTTCATCCGTATGTTGATGAAATGTTATTTAGAAAATTAGCATAGCTATTGTTAAAAATAGAAATCAGCAGACTACAAATTTAGTTTAGAGAAGATTAAGAAATCTGAAATGTATGTTATGTTCAAACAAATAAATGTTCATATTGTTATGATAGGGCACCAATAAATTTTTATCATGATGCATGAATCTCGAAGCATGACACAGATCTCGAGATAATATTTTGAACAAGAAATATTCAAATCTTGATAAAAATTCATCTAGAGCTCCGATTTCAGCAAACTTATAATCAAATTGACCGGCTCGATGAGACAGACCTGAGACAGACCTAATGACAGACCTAATGATATAAAAACTAGTCTAATCCGAGTCAAATCAAGCTCTGATCAAGTCATTAAACAACCCTTAGAAGACTTTCAAACATATTTGGAAAGTCAAACGGCTTTCAAATATGACAAGTTTATACTCAAATCGAGCGGCTCGACAAGACGAATCCAACGAGCCCAATATCACTTAATTCTGACATCATTAAGATACTCAAATGTCTATTAAATGTTGTATGATCGATGGAAGCTTTCTGAACCGTCATATCAAAATGATTTATATTCCTGAATTAATTGCACCCATAATACTATAAATAGAGCCTCATTCCTCTCATGAAGAGGAAGTAAGTCTAGAGAGAGCCTGAGGTCTTGAGGAGAAGTTGCAACTCAGCCTCACCACCAATCGTCATCAACGACCGCCGACCTCCGTCGTCGACCACCGCCAACCTCCATCGTCAACCACCACCGATCGCAATCGACCATCGCCGACTCAGTCGTCCGCTGTCGATCACCGACAACCACCACCGATCTCAGAAGACCACCTCCGACCGTCGTCGACCACCGTCGACCGTCGTCGACCCTCTCCGACTGTCGTCAACCTCCACCTACCGTCATCAATCACCACCTACCAGATGCCGACAATCGACATTGTAATCTGAAAAATATAGTTACTCTTTCTCGTCTGTGGGACAAGAGATTTCTGTAATCATCAATCGATAGTTGATTTCCGCAACTGGGTCAGACCCCGTGATTTTTCCCTAACGGGTTTTCCACGTAGAAACTTATGGAGTCATCACCACTTTTTTCTATTTCACCTATGTGTATGTTGAGCTTTCGTACAACGTTAAGATGATAATTTGTTACTCTACCGCCGCGAGTTTTCTAGCATGCATCACATACAAATGGAAGTTATTTAACTTAAAATCTTCATATTGTTATGACATTATTATTATAGTTGCATCTTGTCTCCATATTTCTAGAAATTGCAGTTCTATGCCTCTTATTAACATGCGATCATTGTTGCATCCTTTTTGTTGTTATGTTTTCTATAGTTTTTTGTGGTAGTGCATTGAATCATTTAGAAGCAATTGATTAGAAATTAAATGTGTATTGATAGATAACCTATGACATGTAATGTATAACTTTTGATTTAATAAACTTTCTTATTTTCAGTTTAAATTTTGTGTTTGCGAGTTAGATATTTTGATGTGTGATTTACAAGAGAAACCGATTTTTCTTATAGGAGCAAACTAAAAACTGTAGTCGACGATGATGAGTTAATCGACAAAATTTTCGGGGAGCATCAATACGAATCAATAAGTTAAATTCATTTGTATATATTTTTGTTATTAAGTCTCTAAAGTAATATGAAATATGTAATTGGTATTTATATCACTTGTAGGAATATTTTTATTTATGATTTGTCGAGGGTTAGTTGTGCCGCTAAATATTTGCATTGAGCTCTGAATTTAGATGTACAATTGCCTCCCATTATTGAAGGAAATGAGTCAATGGGCAGCAACTCAAGTGATGATAATAATGATATCAATGATGAGACAAATCACAAAGATATTAGGGAGCATGTCTTATATAAACTTGCATGAAATTATGCGGGAGCATGCATTTCTTTACCGCAACATAGCAGATGATATGATTAGTAGCAACTATTACGTACGATACTTGTAAGCAACACAAGAGTGGGATGAAAATGTGGATTTTGACTGTCCTAGTGATCACTTAACATCTACCACAAAAGAGTTTATCCCATTTGAACTCTTAGAAGAGCTGTTCTTTTATAACAAAAATGGACTTTAGTGTGCTATTTGTGGGTGGTCAATTCTCAATAATGTTGAATTCAAGGTTATTAATTCAAATAAGAGCCGTTTAACAGTAATATGTCTGCAACATAATCACACCTCCAGGCCTTGTCAGTGACACCTACATGCTTCCAGCGAGAAACTTTTAGGGGGTGCCTGGAGGATTTCTAATATAACAACCCTACATAGTTGCAATCAGTTTAATATGATGACAAGACACAAACAATGTACTTCAAAGTTTATTTCACTTATCATTCTTTCGTCTATTCAACAACAAATGGATTTTAAACTGTAGGAGATCTTTGGTCGCATTGAATTTAAATTTAACATCAAATTATTATACATTAAAGCATGGGATGTTTGAAAGAAGGCTATCAAGATAATTTTTTGAAGCTGGGAAGAGTCTTATCATTCCTTGTTGACACACATCAAATGTTGCGAAGCACGGGCAGCTCACGCAATTATACATGGCGTTTCAGTGGTACTGGGGTTTAAGTACAATTGTTGATCCCATATGGAACTAGATGAACTTAATTAAGAGAAGTTATAGACTACTATTGTTAGTTCAAGCTTGAAAGGTTCCAATTGCATGTTAAAGTTTAAACTAATCCTAAAGTTATGAAACATAAGCCTAATTTAGCATGTTGAAGAATGTTGGTAAGAAATTCAAGTTTCAAGAAGTTTCCCCTTTGAATTGATATAATTTCAAAATTTTATTAATAATAACTAAACATTTAAAAACAATATTCCAATTGCACAAAGCCAAACATACAACAAAGAATTCCATATGAAAAAATATATAAATTACACAAACTTTTGTCAATAAGCAAATTTTAACTTCCAACATAATCGGTTAACTATAGACAACACTTAAGTCACCTGTTTATGTAATTTAATCATTCTGATTCATATAAATGTTAACTCAAATTCGCCATAATATAAATAGAATGAATCAACATTTTAAGTTTTTAAATTTAAACAAGGGCAGGAACTCCAAACTTATTAGATGCAACTACCGTTGTTTTAATTTGATTCAATAATTGAAAATCACAACATAACAAGAGATTAAGCAAATGAGAAAAAAACAATTAACTAGAGCAAAAGATAATAATTCATTCATACTGATACAAATACATAAATACAAATAAGTGCAACAACAATTAAATATACAAGCCCAAGCAAAAATAAAAATCATCGCAAGCTACAATAGACAGACCAAAATCTAATTCTCTGGAGAATCTTCATCCTGAAATGGCTCATAAGGAGGCGCAATATGAAAGTGAAAAGGCTCAACCTGACCTCTAATATTCTGGCGAAAATACTACTCTGCTAGAGTAGCATGGAACTGTACAATACACTCATACAGCTTTGTTGTTGAACATCAATATGTTGAATACATTTGTCCATACGCTACTGTCGATGCATAATGGTATGTAAATTACGCGTCATAGTATCCAGCTGCTCATGTATCTCAGTGACTTGTGCAAACCCCATGGATCGAGATTGCGAGGTACCAAGGTCAGCAGGTTGGGAATGCGAAATACTAGGTTGAGATGGATCAGGTTCTTCAGCATCAATAAATCTATCAAACACAGTTTTGTTGTACCCATAAATAGATTTTCTAGAAATAACTTTATGGGGAAGAATCCGCTCCTTCTAATTTTCAAATCTAACCCCTTCCTTCATACATGAAGAGAAAATCAATGCATGATGTTTACATCGCTTTGTGGACCCCTATTTTAGAATGTTATAGATAGAAGAATAAATAAGCTATCCTACATTAATAGGCTTGGATCTCTAGATATAATAATTTAGGACAGCTCTCTCTTTAGTAACCTCACTAAGATTTATAGTTGGCAAAAGTCAGACACAAATGAAGAAATGCCCCTCCTTAGAAGTGGTAGTAAGCACCGTGCCAGAAAAATTCATCAATGCAGGATGTCTACATCCCTTTGTGGACCCCTTTTTCAGAATGCTATAGATAGAAGAATAAATAAATTGTCCTGCATTAACAGGTTTGGATCTCTGGATACAATAACCTAGGACAATTCTCTCTTTCGTAACCTCACTAAGATTTATAGTTGACAAAAGTCGGGTGTAAATAAAGAAATGTCATGCCTTAGAAGTGGCAATAAGCGTCGTGGCAAAAAAAAATCATAAATTTGTCTTCCCTCTTCTTCCAACTCCCCTCCCAGAAGTAAGGCGTTCAATGATTTTCAATAGATTTTCATCAGTAATTGAGGATAAGAAAAGCATATAACTGTCTTCACAATTAGGCATATTAAATATGAAATTAATAGAGGTAGGAGTAAAATCTACCCATTTTCCCCTAACAAAAACATTCCTCTCTTTTGCTCTTTAAAATTTACATAAAGCTCTCACACAATAGGAATAATTGCACTGTCTATGTTACAATAAACATTTACCGAACATTTCATATCTCTTTGAGCATCAATATCCCCTCCTGGATTAATGAAACCCCTTAATTGAATCAGACTTTTTTAAACTATAAGATCATGTAACATAGTGGCTGCTTCAAAACTTATGAATTTCTTAGAGTCAAGAGTAAAGGGAATTTTGCCTCATTCTGTTTTAGAAGCCATTCACGAAAGAGAAGTTTGAAAATGACTGAGACAAAAGTTAAGGTTGGTAGGAATATGTACTCCCATGAATTTTGGTGACAACACCTTTGCTATAACCTTAGAGCACAATCTAATATAGAAGTGAACTATCATTTTATCAAAGACCATCTAAGTTAAAATCAATACATCTATAACATCTCATGATTAAGAATCAACAAGCAGACATTTTCACAAAAACACTGCCGATCACAAGACACAAAAACCTAACAAGCTAGTTGGTGATTAAACCTCTAGATCATCTTCTTATAGGGGGGTAAAGGAGCTCTCGAACTTTCAAAAAGTTCAATCGCCTTTGCCTCTGTAGATATTGCTGACTTGACTTTCTATTTGAGCAGCTTCTTCTGATTCAACTATCGAAGGGAGTCGCTTACTTAGGAAACAATATTACATCAGGATTCCAGATTCATAACTGTTTCCGGACTCCAAAGATATTTCGCCACATATAAGCGGTAGACCTACTAAATAAAAAATGAAAAGCTCTATATTTTATGGCATAATCCGGTCTGACCTAACATTTTTTGAGTGGTACTGCGCTGATTTAGGTGTTATTGCAAGTTGGGTTGTGTTCATTATTCAAAAATGAAAGGAAGATTTATATTCATTACACTCAATTTTTATGTATTTACATATCTAATGCCTAAACATCAATTTTTTCATACACGCCATCGGCCCAATATTTGAAAAGTTTTATTTGAAGTTTTAGAAATTAAAATTATGGTACTTTTTATGTGATATAATTGTAAAAATTAAAATATAGGTGCTAGATATATAAATGCAAGGAATGGGTGGTATGTATGTAAATGCCCAAAATGAAAATATACAGAACATAATTACTAGAACATATGATGTTATTATGGTGTTATTGAGACATTATTGTGGTGTTATTGAGGTGTTGTTGATGTATTATTATGACGTTTTTTGAGTGGTATTGTGGTGATTACAGTTGTATTTGACTGTTGTTATTTAAGTGTTATTATGATGTTATTATTGTATTGTTGTAGTGTTATTGAATTATTATTATTGTGTTATTTGAGTGGTAGTTATCAAAAAAATGAAAGGAAGATTTACATACATGCCACTCAATTCTTATGTATTTATATCTAACACCTAAACATCAACTAACACCTAAACATCAATTTTTTCATACGCCCCATCGACCTTATGGATCTAAAGGTTTATTTCTACTTATAAAAATTAAAATGATGGTATTATTATGGGATATAATAATTTTTGGTGATATAAATGTAAAAAATTATAGTAAAGTGCTAGATATGTAAATACAATAATTGGTTGGTATGTATGTAAATGCTCAAAATGAAAATATACAAACCATGAATACCACATAACTCTTACAAATATACATATGGAGCTTCTACATTTTGATATTTACTTATATAACTCTCAAATCTATAAATCACATAAAAAAACTACTAAAATTAACTTATGAAAGCAGATTTTCAAGTGTTTATTAAGGTGTGATTTGAGTCGTATTGCAACGATTTTGTGATAATATTCGAGTGATGTTATTTTAGTATTGTTATGTGTTATTGCAGTATTATTGTGGTGTTACTGGTGTGTTATTGCGGAATACCGTGATAACACAAAAATAATACCGCAATAACACCATAATAACATAATATGTTCTGGTATTTATGTGTTATTATGATGTTATTGAGATGTTATTGCAGAATTATGTGGTATTTTTTCATAACGCCACAATAATACAGTAATAACACCACAATAATGTCACAATAACACTGAAATAACGTCAGTCGAATACCACAACAAAGCCGTCACAATGCCAATCAAATAACAACCCAATAATATCTCAATAACAGAGCCCAACTTGCAATAACACCTAAATCGCCGCAATACCACTCAAGTAACGTTCCGTCAGGTCGGGAGATGCATTAAAATATAGAACTTTTTATTTTTTATTTAGTGGGTCCGTCGCTTACACGTGGTGAAAATTCATTGAAATTCGGAATCATAACTGGTCCGGACACCTGATGTAATATTTTTTCCTCACTTAGGGCTTCAGCTGCCCTAAGTTACACTTTTATATTAGTTAATTTGGATGGTGAAAGTATTTTGTAATTCTGTGTAAAGTTACTATTCTGCCATGTATTTGTTTATAAATAAGTTTTATTGTAACGAATTAGGCAGCATGAAAATAATAAAGAAATCAACTTAGTTTTCTTTTTTGCTTATTTTATTCTCCTCTTAATTCTTTTATTTCCTCTTTGTTAGGATATATTTAACACAACTGTAATTTATTAAAAAAATTTATTATGAAGCTGCTGAATAATAATTTGATGTTAAAAAAATTACGTTGACTATTATACATGTATATATTTTTCTTAAGTCAGACGACATCTAGAAAGATGTCAACACAACACTAGCCAATAGTGGTAGGAAAATAAAGATTTCAGGCCAAAACACAGTTTACCAAAACAAATAAAATTGTAGTTTGGCGCCGCACCGCCACCCCAAACGACCATTATTCTTTGCATTCTCAGTTTATTTGCACATCTAATACTTAAAGTTTGACTTTTATATTTATAACACTTTGATATTATAAATCTATATATAAAAAATGTGTATTTCACTTTTAAACAGTTAATAATATTAAAATTTTTGTTGTGATATTAAAAAAATCAGTGTTATTCCTCTTTATATGAAATTTTAGGTGTAAGATATGTAAACATATAAGAATTATGTGATATCTATTTAAATCCGCCAATAAATACATATTTTCTTACGATATTTGAACGCATTCCAGAAGTTAAGAGCAACTCTAACAAGTTCATTTAAGCTAATTTATTTTTGGCATTCATGTCCCGCTTTTCTAACCGTTTCTTTTCAACATTTTTTTTAGAAAGTGCAAAATCATAAAATATTTAAAATTTTATAAATGTTGGGAATAAAATATATGGAGAGGGGCAGATGGGCAAAATTATTAAATTACGAAATCTGATGTCCCCCCTACCAATAACCAATCAATTCAATTATATTTAAAATCTGCATGAGTGCATAATTTGGCTCAAAATTAGATTGCGGATCAATCGGATTGAATTTGGGGCTGGCTCCATTCAATTCAATTTCAAGCCAATTTAATTTTTTTTTATTTTGGAAATTGTATATATTTCTCAAAATTATTCAATTCCGATCATTACAAGCATGTCAGAGCTAGGTGTCAAAGAGTTATTCGGGGTGGTGGACAGACCAGGACTTAAATACTGCTTTTCGGCTCTACACCTAGCCGATGTGGGGCTTTTTGTCCGTAACATTCTTCTCCACTCAATCACATGACACCCTCGTCACTGATCGACTCCACCGAGGGTCCCACTGGACTATAAAGAGTATACACAACTGACAAGCGATAATTTGCTATGATACCACCTGTCAGTTGTCACCTCCCAAAGAACTCTTCGGGACAGTGGGCAGTCGGCAGCCCAAGACTTTTCGGCCCTATATTTGGTCGATATGAGACCTAAGCTCCGCAATTCCTATTATTGTTTAGGGTCTTGTTGAAAATAACCACCTATCCTCAAACGGGGTTCTGGTTTTGGGGACGCCGTCTGGAGGCTTTACGCAGTGGGTGACCGGGAAGAAAGAACAAGAGATGCTGTTTCGCAGCGGAGGTAGCGGTGGCGCAGCAGCAACAGGCTCGATGCTGGTGCGCTACTTTTCCAGGAAACGCAGCGAAGACGTAAGAAGGATAAACCCTAAAGTTCCAAGGGAGCAAGCCATGGAGATCTCCAAAAGCCTCTACGAGTTGATTAAGCAACAAGGACCTATCTCCGTCTCTAACACCTGGAACCTCGTCAAGGTAAGCACTTGAAATAGCTTATGAATTAAGCTTATTTTTGCTTTTGGATTGTGTTGCTGACTCGAGATTTGTGGCTGCTTCGACATGCTTGGTATTTAACTTTCTTCTGTAATTGAGTGTATTTTGTGAGGGTGATCAAGCATAATGTTCAAGGGGTTAAGTATGTGAACTTTTAGTCAAGCTTTTTGTTTTCCATGTTGTATAGCCAAAACTCCTGGACTGGCTTAAGTTTGTGATGCTAGCTATCTAGTTGATCTATCAGGGAAGCTCAGCTATAATGCTCATCCAAACAGCTTTTCTAAGGGGACGGATCAATGCTACTCAACGAAGACAACTCACCAACTTTCCTGGAAAGCCAACTCAGCTAGACACATATAGCAAACTCAATGCTGAGTTCCTCCAGACAACTAGAATGACACCCCCAATTTGCTTCGACACCAAATAGGCAGATAGAAGCGTTAAGAAAGATGAAACATATAAGACTAGACATTTTTTGTGGTTACAATTATCAATGGGAAGCGTTAAAATAGAGGGCAAGCAAAAAAAAAGAACAGCATTGGCATAAGATGACAAGCCCATATGGCTTATCCTGCAGTGTTAGAGGAACAAACAAATGAGATACATTATAAATTTGTTGAGATTCTTATATTTCTTTGGGGGTTGGATTGTATTATTTATCACATCTAATGCATATCAAGGTAACTCATCCACAAATAATGGTAGCAACTGCATTGTAAGGGGACTACTGCCCCAACTATTAATGGCATCCTTTTCTTCCCATTTTCTCTGTTTTCTGAACTAATCGTCTTTTCGAATTCTTTCTTTAGTGGTGTGAATCCACAAACAAATTAGAATCCAAAACATATGTATCACTAAATATTTGCACCAAGTTGTGGGATATTGAAAGCCACGCATGATAGCTGTAGCCAAGGTTTAAAATTGTACTATCAGGCATTGAGGCATGTTTTGTCTATTCGATAAGACATAAACCTTGAGAAATTTTGAGTCGTAGACCTAGATTAAAACATTATGTTAGTAAAAGTATAAAATGTTAAACAATACACTAACTACAAATTAAGAGATCAAATTAAAATTATAACAATCAGCCTTTCTCATTCCCAATTCAATATATATAAATATTTTAAGTCACTTAGAATATGATTTATAAATTTAAAAGTTTCTTTCACTTTCATTATTTAACGGTTCCCTAGCAGAATCATTATTATAGTGAAATGCTTTTACTTCTTCATCATTCTCAGTGGTGTCAACGTCATTCTAGTTTTCCTACTTATCTTTGATCTCGATCATCTATCTTTTCCTTCATCAATAAAATCAATAATAATATTAATTACAATTTAAAATGATTATTATATTTATGGTTAGAATTTTTTTTACATAAATAATTATATTAATATTCCCTATTACTTAATTGGTGACCGGCATTGATTGTATTTTCTATTCCATAAACAAAATTTAACATTGAGTCTTCCTCTTATAATTGTGATAAGTATTTTAGGTTTAGGTATAGATATATAACAAATATGAGTTGTTTATTTGTTATATTTATAAATGAAAAAAATTTAAACTGCTTAAACTTAAAATTTTGAGGCTTATGCCTCTCAAAAATTACACAAACATGTGCCTCCACCTTATTGATTCTTACGCCTCATCAAAGTCAAGTTGAGGCATACGCCTCATGACATTTTTTTTGGTTAAAATTGCACTAAGACATGCCTCTTATTGTGCAATTTTAAGCAATGGTCACGACCTCAAGTATGAAGGCAACTAGCACATTAGATCTAAGGGAGATTATTGCAATGAGCATGAGGACTGCAGGTTAAAAAAACTAGGGCAATGATGCCCATAATGAATCAAACCGTGGTGGCTACAACCTTTTTAAGGGTCGCCAATACATTGAGCTTAGGGGCAATGATGTGGCTAACCCTAAGGAAAGAAATGTAGCAAGCTTAAAGGCCCTGATTATGGAAAGCTATGAAATAGAAACACCTTTAAATGGCTTCCATGCCCGTGTTGGACACAAACATGGCTCCTACATGCCCCAAAACATGTCATTCTTGCCACAAATTGTGTCAATAATTTTTATTATAATTTTGGGCTCTAACATGGCACGGACATGGCAAGGATATTGATGACTGCTTGTATGATAAAATATGTTTTTTTAATTAATTATGATTGATTCTTTTTTACTTTTAAAATATCTCCTTTATGGTATCATATTTTATTATGTGATGTCATTATTAGAAAATAACAAAAAGTATATATTTAATTGCAGTAATTTATTAAATATAAGAACATGTGTCCATGATGTATTGTGTTCTGCTTTTTACAATTATGCCTTGTTCGTATTGTGTTTTGTGTTCATGTTCATGCTTCATAACTGGCAAGCCTTGAAAGTGACTACAAGGATAGGCCAAAATTTGTAAGCAAAACCAATCTAAGGGTAGGGATTGAGACGAATTGAGTGGCATTTGCAATGAGCCTAATGTTGGTGATTATTGATGATCTCAATGGCGATAACCATGGTTTACCTATGGGTGAGATTTGCTACAAGTGCAATGGTAATGATAAAACGTTTGCAAAAAGATTGCACGAACGGTTTACTAAAAGCAATTTTCATGATGTGTTTGGTAGCTTTAGAGAGATGGCATTAGATCAATGATTCTTTATCATTATGGATGTTGACTCGATATCAATAAGAGAAACAATTGCTTGTCAATGTGGGACGTGTTATTTGTGGTATGGATTGATAATTATAGTTGCAACTTAAGAATAACAGATGCCTTTTTTTTATTGACAATATATATCACGATGTGTTTGTTTTGACCATAGCTTTGTGCTCCTTGATCCTAATCATGCCTAGAATGTGAACATCAACATCCTTGCAAAGTTCCAGCTGGGTCCACTTGTTGTTTTGCTTATTGTGAAGGTGTCATAGCTTGTTTTGCATCATCTTTTATCAAAGATTGTGCAGGAGGAGACCAGTTGAGCTTGAATTTATGGATAGTTTGTTGAGGTTCTTGTCATGATTACTGGTGGACAAAAGGTGAGAATATTTACAATGCTTCCAAACTATTGCATGCAAGAAATAATGCTGATGGAATGAGGATTAATCTAGATCACCTTGAATTTTTTTTTTGTTCTTCTGATATCAAAAACAAACACAGTCCGATTGAGAAGAGAGTATGTACATGTTGTTTACATGATAAATTCTTAGATGGAAAAACTATGGGGCTGATTGAGTTAAACAACGCAATATTTGTGAAAAATTTGAACACAAATAGTTCATTTCAAACTAATTAGAGGCACTTTAGCATAATATATTCCTTGGGCGATAAAAAAAAAGGCAAAATTGAGGGTGACATCATGGGTGTGATTGCGAGTATTATGTATGCATGCAACTAAATTGGCCAAAAATAACCATAGTATGATTCTTATTGAAACATGTTGTGGTTCCGGATTGCTAGATAGAACTATGGCTCAAGGCTTATTGGAGAAGACTATAATGTACCTTGTGGTGAAATTGCTCTAATGATTGCAAAATAAGTGTGATTTATGGCATAGGACTCGAAGGAGATAGTTGTGGCACAAGCAAGATTGCAGTACAGGGCTTTTGGGAGATAGCTATAATGCAAAGGTGGTGCGACACAAGGTTGAAAGAAGATGATTACCGCCCATGCAATGTTATCATGTAAATTTTAATAAAGCTAACTGTGGCACAAGCATGATTGTTGTACAAATCTTAAGGTGACAACCATTGTGCACTAGGAAAATTCCGTCATAATTTTTATAGGAGATGATTGTTGCACCAATGTGAATGGAATGCATGTCTATAGCGCAAATTAGTAGGACTGTAATAGAGTTGAGTATAAAGTGGATTGGACTTAGCCTGGTCATATTATGACTTGTTCATGTTTGGCTCGAGCTTGAGTCAATCGTTAACATGTTTGTTCACATTTAACTTGTTTAAAATTTTTAATTATTGTAGTTGTTTTTATTTGGCTTGTTTATATTAATTGAATGAGTATTTCAATGAACTAATACAATAATTAATAAACAAGTTAAAAATTTGAATGATTATTAGAATTTTCATATAAAATTACTAACAAATTATCTTATAAATATAAACCAATAAGCCATTGAATAAATTTCAATTACTATATAACTACTTTACACTAGTTAATTAAGATAATCTTTAAGCTACAAATGAATTTTCTTGCAATAAATAACAAAAGTGCTAATAAACTAGATCTTTAAAATAAAGAAATAAGAAAGAATTGCATTAACCTAATATGCACATTCACTAATGACAAATCAATTATTTTGAATATAGAGACACACACACTAAAAAATTTAAAATTGTAGAAGAGAAAATATGGGCCGAAACTTTTAAGCGTTGAGTGAATCATGATCCGTGGAAGAACATAAAAATTAGATGTTACCAAATTCATGTGATTACATAATTGATAAATATGTATTATATATTTATATAATAATAATTAATTAAATTTAAAAATTGTCATATAGATGGCAGATAAATTCGGTTAATATATAATAATAATAATAATAATAATAATATTATTATTATTATTAAATATGTAATTAATAATTAATCTTATAATAATAATATTTAAAAATTATATATTGCTATTAAATTTATATAATTAAATAAGTTTTTGTTGAGTTACTTGGTGAGCAACAAACTAATTTGTTTGCTAATATAAATAGATCAGTTAGGCCGTTTTTATGTTTGATTCATTTAATCTTCGAGTTTTAAAAAAAAAACCGAACTTGTTTATTTACTTGTTTGAACAAATATGATTAAGTATTAATTGAGCCGAGTTGTAGTTGTTCATCGACCATACAAATGAGATTGTGACACATGTTTTGTGCCTTGAATGATTAAGGTTTCAGGTTTTAGTGTTGGTTTATAAGGAGAGGACTACGATGCAAAAGATGTGGTGGTGTCGGTGTTAATGTAG